ATTTGATGATTGCTGCAAGTGTAGGATCTAACATTCTAGATTTACATCACTCATATCCTTCATTACGTACACCTATAACATTGGAAACAAGCTTCATTAAATTTATATTTTAAAATAAAATATTTAAAAGTATTCTGCTAAACACTTACCACTATATAATAATTTTTTAATCTTATATTTTATACAAATATTGAATTGTTGTACTCCCGAATCTTCTTATGAAGATTGACAACCAAAAGATATCAATGCTCCATTTCCTTATTAAGTAGCAGTATAAAACAATATTTAATTAGCTCTGCTTTATGAGTCATATTGTACTGTCAAAATAATATAAGACCATGTACAGTAAAGTATTTATGAAATAATAAGAAAAAGTTAGTAATCTATAAATTCTATATTAAATAAGAAATCTATCGATAATATTAAATACTAAATATACCTTGAATCCTAAATACATTACTACTAATGCGATCGTATATCTTTTTTAATTAGAATATTAGCATATGTATCCATTACATCATTATCTATCGTATTGTTGAATTATGTTATCTCTCTAGGTTATTTTGGTTGATAAACTATAGCGTAAAAAAGATTAAATAATTTGGTCAGTTGCCTTATATTTAATAGACAAATGGAAAATAATTATAACTTCATTTTTCTTAATAATCTAGAAGATCAAAGACTATCATACATCCTCTTTCATATATTATTTAGTATCTTATAAAAACTATAAAGAACTTATTTTCAACATAGCAGCCATCTCCTTCTCCTTCTTCAAGGTTTGGCCTTCATTTGAGCTTTAAGCATGGAGAAAATTCATCAATTCTTCTACGTCATCTCCTTATCATTCTTCAATTTTTTATTTAATTTCTTCTTGACTTTCATCTTTAAAGTCTTCTTTTTCATAATAGCTCCGTTTTTCTTTCTTTTTCCTATGACTCGTTATTTCATAAGAATTGCATGTATACTATTTTGCAAGGATAGGTTTGTGGATCACGTATTTATATCATCAATACAAATATTTTTTAAATTGTTTGGGCATTATTTTATGGACTACATCATCCAAACCTTGTTCTCACACTAACACCACTAAACTTTGAGTGTTAAAATGTCTTGTAGCTTTTGCATTTAGACAGTTGAGATTCACATTACCTTGATTATTTTTCTCCGATATCATCTATACATGTATCAGAGGTTTGAGTTGCTTGTTGTAAAATGAGAAACGAATTTATTACCTGATTATCTAAAAAAAAAAGCTATAATTGGTATATCTCATAAAAGAAACATCTCTTAATAGTACGTAATTGCTCGATAGGTTATGACTCCTCAACTGTCAGAACCTTAGCATTCGGTATCTCAATATCTAGTGTCTTATAAGAATGTAATCATACCTCATGGTAAACGATTTAACTTTTAATTATCTACAAATAATAAAAGTAATCATTATGATATTTTTTTAAAGCTATAATAATAAATCTGAATTTGATTTCAAAACAAAATACTTACTTTATCAAATAATATTATTGATATCATTCTATTAGTTATTTTTCAATGTAATGTGAGAATATACCATTTTGAGAATCATGTAGATTCTACTTTATTTGATGGTTTAAGGGACATGCTCATAAAATCATCACTATTAAATATTAAATACATATTAGGATTAAATCATATTATACAAAAAAAAAATGGTATAGTAATTTGTAAACTATATACCTATAGGTTAGTTACTTATAATATAGGTAGACAACCTTTCATATAATTAACAATTGGAATCTCATTTCTCTTGAATCTCTACATCCTCTCTCTTTTTATTAGAATTTTTTTAGAAATAAATGAATGTACTATTGTTAGCCAATTATACTTATTCAAATTTTTTAAATCATCAACAGTTGATACTAAAGATCACTGCTGGTTGCTTTGACAAAATAATATATAGGCAAAAATATATAATGCATACATTTAACAAAAGTTTATCACTATTCCTCATCATTACTTGAATGTAAATTTATCATCAACCTTTCTAAATCCCTAGGAGTTGGTCATTCAAACAAAAATTATTTATGTGTCAAATACCCTCCATATGTCTTCTGGTTAATGACTTCTCCAATAATGGATAGATTAAGTAGAAAAGATACATCAAACACAGAAAAAGATAGTTCTATTGCATGTATTAGAAATTTATCATTCTTATACCATCGTTCTATAATTATTGATATTAATCTGCGAGATATGAAAATAGTAGAGAAAATAATCAATAATAGTACTCCATATAATATTTAAGTGACATTATCTTAGTGATAATAAAACCAATTGTGCTCGACTATGTTTATTAGGGACTAAGAAAGTGATGAAAATGATCCATAAAACTTCGTTCCGAAACTATCCAACCAAAATAACTTTTTGACCTCTCTTCATCATTAGAATAATATAATCCATAGATACCAACAAATAACATTGTATAGATGATATTTAAAAATTATCATTGATAATTAAATAGAAATTTATATAAATAAAAACATAATTATGCTTAAATCAACATTCTTGTAGTTGGCTTTAAACATTCTATGCATATAATATATGTTTGATGACATGATTATTTCCTATTTAAAGCCAAAAATTATCTAACTAGAAAAAAAAAAGAAAATAGAATACTGACACTCTATTTAGATGCTAAAAAATTAATAAAAATACCAACAAACTCTATAAAATAAAAAAACCAATAACATATGTCCATAAGTATCTTATGCAAAGCTATTCAAAAATTTTGGGATTATTTTATATTGTGCATCTATGCAATGAATTATTTTTTAATTTTTCTCAATAATAGGGCATCAGCTATTAAAACAAAATTTTGAACCAAATTTTCTATATATATTGTTAACTTATTTAGAAGCTCAAATGTGAAAAAACATTGCATGGATGCCTTATATTATTTTAGAAATAAAAAAAGGAGAAAATAAAAAATGACACACTATGTTCAAATATTCATAAAAATATCAAAATAATCTCTAAAATGAAAAACTAGTGACACATCTCTATAAGTTTCATATTCAAAGCTTCTCTAAAATTTTGAGATTATTTTGAATAGTACATCTATGCGATGCTTATAGATTATTTTTCAAATTATGAAATTTACGTCTTCTTCAAGTTACCATATAATCTATCACGTAGATAAACTAGCTATTTTAATTAAAAATGGTAGAGAAAACGAGAAATCATCTTAGAGCATGACGATAAATGTGAAACTCCTTACAAAAGCCCCATGTTCTACCAGATGGAGTGGACAAATTTCAACTTTCAAAAATTAGTAAAGAATTCCCATATTGGGTATTTTCCATTATCATACTCGTTTCTGGTGAAAATTCATCTTTCTTTCCTTTTCTTTTTTTATCTTAGTTTGTTGATAACAGAAAGGACAAAAATAAAATTCAGAAGAAATAATAATATTTTTTTGATAAATATACAAATAAATAGTTTTTTGTGATTAAACACCCTATAAGTTGTTTGAGAAAATTTCCTAAAAAAAGCCTTCCTTTTTTGCTTTTTTTATGAACACGTGCCTTTTATTTTTATTTTTCTCAAATGGTGCCTCTTGTTTTAAATTCTATCAAGAATACTCCTCACTAGCCACAATGATATTATTCTCGTCAGCTTTGGAGATACCTTATAGATATGTCCATAGGGTGCACTAGTCTAAGTGGATAGATTGTTATGGTATTTTCATTTATCTCGTTTATAATTTTTTTCAATAGCATTGCAATATTCTTGTTAAGGTGGTGAAAACACTGTAAAATTATTAAACAATATTATAAGTGATATTATTTTATTTCTTGTTAGTTATTATTGTTTGTAGACTATTATGATATTATATTCTTAGGCTTATAGTTGGTTTGGTTGAAGTTAGGAGTTCATTTGGGTTATTGATTATATTTTTATTGTGATGATTAAAACATGATAATATACTTTTTTTTAAATTTATATTCGGGTGATGTTGTTCCTAAACTATTATAATACGTATTTGAATCTTAGTATAATATATAAAATAATTTTTTATATGTTTTGATTACATTTGTCGTGTTTTGTTGAGATGTTAAAGATATTATAAAAATATTAAAAAAAATTAAAAGTGACATCATATTATATCTCTTTAGTTGTCATTATTGATAGACCATTATAATATCAAACTTTAAATTTTCATATTGGTTTAATTGAGAGTATAAGCTCATTTATAATATTTTTAAATGGAGTTTATAATATTCTTGTTGTGGTGACGGATAACATCCACTTAGACCAGGCCCCCAAAACTTACCGTAAAACTATAAGGTGAGGTATATTTTCGGTTTTATTAGTACCATTTGAAAAAAATAAAAATAGAAAATACCTTTTGAAAAAATATTTTTTTTTTAAAAAGCACCTAACTTCTTTTTGGGATCCTTAAAATAATGTTGACACTATATTTGATAAAAAGCTCACAGTTTGGACACAGTTTGGGGAACCTACACTTTTGAGGGAAAATGAAAAAAAAAAAAAAAAAAAAAAAAGAGAGGAAAAGTTCATGAGAGCATGAGATCCTTTTTCATGACGGTATAAGCGAGGATTTGATCTCAATTTATTCCTGCTGCTCTCTCCCCTTCCAATTGTGGATTAGCTGGCAAGTAGTGGGCTTTATCTACAACTACAGTGAACGACGAGGATGTGTTTTCTCTGCACAGCTAACCATCTCGAAGGGAGACATATATAACCTGTAAGCAACCCACTCATGAAGAGGCAAAACAACAGAGGAAGTACTCTTTCATGTGATGTTTGGTCTAAAATCCTCCTATTTGTGTGCTGCCAATACAGAGTGCCACCTGGAGAATTGGAGGAGTCCCTTCCAAGTGATGCAACTGCGCTGTCCCAAGCAATCTGGTCACAGACAGGGTGGAAAGAAGGAATGGAAACAAAGAAGCAATAACGATAGAGATGAGAGTCCAATCAGTAGAAAGTGGGGAGGGAATTTTACTTGGTAGCATTGATTAAGACAGGACAGATAAATCTAAAGCAGACAGTAATCTTACAACTCGGGCATGAATTCCATTTGACTAAACACATGGAGGTGAGCCTCACAGCATCAACGTTTCAACTCTGCTCGGTTCTTTCTGCGCAACTCTGCGAAAAATTCCACCTTTTCCCCTCCTGCCTCCCTCTCATGGAGCCCAAGAGTTCTGCCAAGTTGCTCCAAGAGGTGCCCAAGTTCCACCAGGCTATGGGCCTCCTACGGTCAGACAAGAGAGAACCCGCCGCAGCTTCCTCAGTAGCAGAAAATATCGACCTTTTTCCTTCCATAGCCTCAGGCGGGAGGGAGTTGCAAGTGGTGCCGGCAGCGGCGGAGAAGGACGAGCAAAGGCGGCAGCTTGCGCCCAAGAGAAGTTCTTACAAGGACCGGCACACAAAAGTTGACGGCAGAGGGAGACGGATCAGGATGCCCGTCCTCTGCGCTGCCAGGGTCTTTCAGCTCACCCGAGAACTGGGTCACAAGTCTGATGGGGAGACAATCCAGTGGCTCCTCCAGCAAGCGGAGCCCGCCATCATAGCCGCCACAGGCTCGGGCACCGTCCCGGCATCGGCCCTCGCCGCCGCCGCCGCCGCCGGTGGCCCCATGTCCCATTCGAGCGCCACTGTCCTTGCCGGGCTCCATCGGAAGCTTGATGAAGTGGATCAGGGAGCCGCCACAGCCGTGCGGCCTATCTGGGCCATGGTTGGGGGTTCTGGCGTCCCTCGGTTGCACCCTGGGTTATGGCCGCCGCCGCAAATGGGTGGGTTTAACTCCGGATTACTGCATTCAACAGCGGCCGCCTCATCCAACTCGAACCTTGGGGCCGGAGGCAGCGGCGACGGATCGGTAGGCAGCTTCATGCAGAAGATGGGATTATTGCATGGAATGGAATTGCCCAGCCCCAACATCGGCACGATGAGTTTTGCATCAAAGTTCGGTGGGTATGGGCAACAGCTGCCCGGACTGGAGCTCGGTCTCTCGCAAGATGGGCATATGGGAGTGTTGGATCCGCAGGCCTTGGGTCAGTTCTATCAGCAGATGGCAACGGAGAGGGTGGGAGCCGGCGCTGATGGCAGTGGGCAATTGCAACAGCCGCAGCAGCGACCGGCTCGTCAGGCAGAGGATGATTCACAGGGGTCAGAAGACTAGAAGGTTGGTTGGTTGGTTGGTTGGTCGGATGTCTTTGTGTGTGTGTGACTTCCACAAAAACAAGGCAGAGAAAGAGACAGAAATTTCATTCTTTGATGTCGTCGAGTGATGAGTAATTCGATCCATCTGCCCTTCCTTTCTCTGCAAACCTCACCGAGCTCAGGTAGCTTCTTCTCTGTAAGTTTGCATTGGATGTCATTTATCGGCAGTCTTGGATTTTAATCCTATTTTACTACGTATGGAACATGCAGGTGTATCATTACAGAGCAGTGTGTCGGTAAAAGAGTTTTAGGCCTTATATAGTAGAGGTACCGATGTAGTTGTGATTGGCTTGTTGGTGCAAATAAAAAATTGGCATTCTTATATCTTTCTGTGCGTCCTATTAAGCACTCTGAGCAATTTCAATTTTTGGGAGGGTTCTATTTCTTCGTGCATATTGATGTTTTAACCTAATTTTATGTTAGATTTGATATCTGTAAAACCATTTCGCTGTAATATACCTTTATTGACTGATTGTTCGAACGTGTCTATTGCTATTAGAACCTGTAGCCATTTCTTCTTAAAATTTATGAATAAAACATATATGTTATTTTTGCCATGCTGGGGGAAATGCAGAACGTTGAAGCTGCTTGTAATAAATTAATAAAATCCAAGAAATCTTTTGCATGTGCAACATGGTGTTTTTTTTTCCTATCTGCATAAAGTGCAAAAGTCATGTAATTAAGAATTAGGCTGCATACACAAATGTCGACAATCTTTCCCTCCAATCTTTCTCTACGGCTCAGTTGATTAGTCTAAATCATTGTTCTTTGTCATCGATCCAAATTGATGTCTCTTATTTGGACGGTCAACTTCAGGACTTCATTTTCTATGGTTGGAGACTTTTATGTCGAGAATGACCATTATCTTTTTTGAATTGATGTTGGGTTCTCTTGATGAATCATGAGATCTAGATATTTTGTTGAACCGACATCAGATGTGCAACATTCAGGATTATTAGATCTTTTGATGTTGATGCAGGTCTCGGACAGGTGAGTGTCAACCATTTTGGCTTTTCATTAACATGTCATCCATATATTGTTGGAATATTAGTGACATTAATAGAAGATGAATTAGAACTTGTTAAATCTTGAAATTTTAATCGAGAAAGCAAGTCTTAGAAACATTAAGCGAGCATGCAAGAACAATTGACAGATGCAAACAATAGAGAGGCATATGATTTTTAGTAGTTTGATCTTTTTTTTATGTATATTCACTCTTGATTCCTCAATTCTTAAGGTCATCGTGTTTTATTAATGATGTTCCTTAGTTTAATTTTCTTCTTTTACAATCTTTTCATTTAAAGACTTAGAAGAGAATCTCACGTCAATCTTAAAAAATAATACTTATGGCCATTAATAATGATAAAAAGATAGATGAGATTTAAATAAAACTCAAAGAGAAAATGATAATGCATTGTAAACTCAACGATGAATACCCCCACAAAGTCCAGAAAAATTATTTACACCCTATCATAATCTAAGATATGGTGTCTATTTCAGAGTATTAAATATTATTTAGAAAGTAAGACACTAGTCAAATGTAATAAAATAATTTGATATTACGTGGAATGAGTTGTTTACAACTTTTGGGAAGATGAGATAGATTGGGACATCAAAATATTCTAATAGCCTCTTGATAAGTATGAAATCCCATCGATCACGAGAAAAGCATCATTTTTTTCAATATCTAAGATATCATAAATTAAACTATTGTTAGGATTCTGGTTAGGAGAGTCCTAATTGAGAGACATTCATATAAAACTTACCTAAGCCGACCCGTATTAAAGAGGTGAAGAGACCGGCTAGGATTAGGAGGTTGTTTCTTAGAGAAGAATTAGGAGTTGTAAAGGAATATGAGTCTTGAGTATGAGTCCTATTAGGAGTTAGGGTTTAGAAGCCCTATAAATAGTCATGTATTCCTCCTCTTTTTATAAGCAATAGATGAATCTTTTCTGTAGCCTTTGAGCAGTAACTTGGAGGGAGGAACCCTTATAGAGTTCTAAGGAGGCCGATCCCCTAAATAGATCAACCTCAAGTTTAGAATTTACAAGGGTTCTAATACTTGGTATTAGAGCAGCGTTCTTGGCATCTCGCAGCCCTTTCATAGCCATCCATTAACCCTCCACAGCCACCCAAAGTAATTCCCACAATTTCTTAAAATATCATCGCCAAATTCCGCCATCATCTCCACCACCGTGGATTATCCTTTGATTTCCCCGTGAATTGCAACAGGTTCTGGTTTCCTATCTTACTGCTGCTGCAATTTAGTTATCCTTATTCGAAAATCCAAAAAAAAAAATATTCTAAAATTGTTGCATAAATTTTTCGTCGTAAAGTTTTCATCTCTACGACGAAAGATACAGTACAAAATTTCAACTGCATAGCACAGATTGTTTGATCTTGCTACTATGTTTTTTCTATCCAAATCTCTATAAAAATTTTTATGACAGTTTTGACACTTCCTAGCAACAGGTTTTCTTTTGGCTTTGTCAAAAAATTCTTAATATAAACCATTGATATTTTACATCTAATATGCTATACTTGAAAATATGTACTGTAAAATTTCAACCGCATAGTATTGGTCTTGATACTATATTTTTTCTATCCAAATCTTTACAAAACTTTTATGATAGCTTTGACACTTCCTAATAGTAGATTTTCCTTTGGTTTCGTCGAAAAATTCTCAATATAAACTACTGATCTTTTACGTCCAATCTACTACACTTAAAAATCTGTGCTGTAGAAAATTTCAGCCGCATATTATTGTCTTAACCCATCTATTTATAATTTTTTTTTAATAAAATTTCTTATATACTTTATAGATCATCTTAGCTTCCATCTAAGATTGATCTATTGAGGAATTCATCTCTAAAAACGATTTTGTGTTGCTGTAAATTTTCATCATAAATCGTTAAAATTTTTCGATGAGAATTCTGCTATCGCAACTTGTACCAATTTTCTTGCTGTTACTATCAAAATTTTCTTAATTAAATTGGATATCCTTACTGTCATATAAACTGAGATATTGTTGTCAATTTCCTCCTCAAATCTCTCAAGTTTTTGATGGAAATTTCATCGAGAAACCACTGTTTCTTCGACGACAATTCTGCTCTTACAAGACAGCACATATCTGCAGCAACTTCCACTGATTTCTATCAAACCTTTGCTGTCATCTACCACAGATCCAAAACTATCATCCATAGCCCTAAAACTCTATCAAACCATACCCTCAAACTGCACCCAAAACAACCACAAAATAAGCCTAAACCGCAGCCTACATCCACCAATCCACCAACCCTATCGACCATCACTTCTCTCAACCTATACATGCCTTTAACCCGATAAAAAAAGAGAAATATTAACATCATAGATTTGAAGGTATATACTATGGCATCCGAGGAGGTAATCAAAGCTAAATTTGAAGCATTCGAGGCCCGAATGGAGGATAAGATTCGGACTCTCTTTACCGAACTCAGTTTGGGCCGACCATCAAGCCCGAAGAAATCACATCAAGGAGAGAGCTCTAACCAATCGCACCAAGCCCAAAGATATGACTTACAAGAGAGGGGAAGCTCTATGACTGACCCTAACTATCCACGCATGAGAGTGGACTTCCCTAGATGGGAAAAAGGAGACCCGATTGGTTGGATCTCGCGCGCGGAGCGATATTTTCGGTACCACAAAACCGCGAACACATTTATAGTGAAAATTACAGCTATATATCTTGAAGGGGATGTCATAAAGTGGTTTGACTAGTTTGAACATACTTATGGAGTCCTTTCATGGCGATAATTCAAAGAAGGACTGCTAATCCGCTTCGGACCAATCGATTACGTGAACATTGACGGACAACTAGCAAAGATCTGACAAATCTCCACCATTCAAGAGTACCAAACCAGGTTTGAAAGGTTAGCTAATCAAACTTATGATTGGTCTCAAAAACAGCTATTGGGGACCTTCGTTGAGGGCTTGAAGCCAGAGATCCGGGGAGAAGTTAAAGCACGACAACCGTACATGCTTATGACAGTCATCTCTTTTGCACGACATCAAGTGGAGCGATTGAACCATGAAGCTTGGAGGACTAGGGTCACTCCTCAACCAGCAATACTGAAGCATTCAGCCCCCTCTACTATCGACCGAGTCCTTGCACTAAAAAGGTTGACAAGAGAAGAGCTTCGGGAGCGATATGCGAAGGGGTTATGTTGGCATTGCGACGAGCCGTGGAGCCGTGAGCATCGTTGTAGTAAAGGGAGACTTCTTATGATTGAACCAATAGAAGAAGAAGTCATTGAACATCCAGAAGAGAGCCTTGAACATGAAGAAGAAGATGCAGAAGAAGAGCCACAACTGACTGAAGTTACGGTACATGCACTAACCGGCTACTCAAACCCGCAAACGATGAAAGTTGGAGGCCTTCTCAAACAACATCTGATCACTGTTCTCATCGACATGGGCAGTACTAATAACTTCCTAAATAGTAAGGTTGCTGTTCAGATGACCTTACCTATCGAGAATTACAGCAAGTCTAACGTTAAGGTTATGGACGGACGGATTTTGAAGTATGATCGTAGGCGCCCGCGAGTAAAACTGTTGCTACAGGACCAAGAGATAATTGCATATTTCTTTCTCCTCCCTCTTGATGATCATGAGGCCATGCTCAGAATTGAATGGTTGACGACATTAGGTGATGTTTCTTAGAATTTTATGTAACTAATTATAAAATTTTACAGTAAGGAGAAATAGGTGATATTGCACGGGAAACGTGGGGGCGACGTAACGATGATTTGCACACAACAAATAGAGAAGATTTTGCATAAAGCATGCAGCGGCTTTTTGGTACAACTTGAGCAGCAAACTAAGGGAGAGCCAATAGAATTTGAAGATCCAAACCTTCTTCCTTTGCTTGCTAAATTTTCAGATATATTTGACGAACCGCACAACCTACCTCTTACCCGTCAGCATGATCATTATATAATGATTCTTCCAAGCAAACTCCAGCAAATACTCGGCCATATCAGAATCGACATCTCCAGAAGGATGAAATAGAAAGGATTATAAAAGAGATGCTTGAAACAGGAGTTATTCGGCTAAGTTGCAGTCTCTACTCTTCACCGGTGCTACTTGTATGCAAGAAGGAGGCAACATAGCGAATATGCGTTGATTACCGAGCTCTCAATGGCATAACCATCAAGGATAAATACCCTATCCCAGTAATAGATGAATTGCTAGATAAAAGAGAGCACAAATCTTCACAAAGCTGGATCTTCGTTCCGGGTATCATCAAATACGAGTGTGTGAAAAAGGCATACCGAAAATCGCCTTTCGA